TATATATATATATATATATATATATTAGTTCTAGATTTGATAAGTGGCAGGGCTGAAGTAAACACTTTGTTGGTTTTGCTTTATTGTAGAAAAATATAGTTTCACAGGTACTGAGTTCAGTTGAGAGTATTTTGTACCTTCTCTGCTCAGGGAAAGGTCTTAGTGCACTTGTATAGCAGAGGACTTAAGTGAGATGTTCACTGGGTAACAGGTGATATGATAGTCTCTCTCTCACACCAGGGAGAGGGAGTTGTCAGGCGGGCCTTAAAGGAAACGCGTCAGGTGTTGTTGTTGAACTGCGCTGACAAAGCTTGACCTCGCCTGCTCCCCAGAGGAAATGTCAACTCACCAATTGATTCATACTCATGGGTGAATGACTTGGTGAATATATGGGTAATATACATTTGGGTAAATATTTATATAATACAAATGTTGATGTTACACCGTGATGTATAAAAGTTTTATATTTTTGTTCATAAACTTTTGAGATAAGGAGTGGATGTTACGAGTGTCCGCCATTAGTTTATGTTCTTTAAAACTCTTTGTTTCGGTGGTGTGTGGGTGGCTTGGACAGCTTCATTCACTACTCCCAAACACCAACTGAGCTTGTATTTAAGTATTAACTTTGTCTGTTACATTATTTTATGTTTTATTGTATTATGTTTTATTATATTAGATTTGTATATAGGTTAGATAAGTGGAACTGATGTCAATAGGTAACTTAGATCAGGTTTACGTTTCTGCCAATGAGGATATAGTACGTCAGTAGAGAGGTGACCTCGGTGACCTACTGGTACACTCTAGTCAGTCTAGGCACAGCTGTTTTAAGCTAAGTAGTATACCCTCTCTCTCTCTGGTGTTTTGGGAATTGGCATTTGACTATTGATATTTGTTTTGCTTGATATTGATTTTGTGTGATCCTGTTGGACCTTCAGTTCTTTCTCAGCCACTTCCAAAGATCTTGTCGTATTGTTATTGTTATTTATTTTATTTTCTGTACATATGTGGAAGTGGGAATAAGTTAATAAATTTTCATAATTTTTATTGACTTGTTTAGGTTTTGACCTGCTAACTTGACCTTTATTGGGAGAACTTTGGATTAAATATATAATAATAAATACTGAGGCTAGAATTTTGCTCCCTGATTCTTCTGCTAGGACACAGTGTCTGTTCCAGACTTCTGGCATTTCGAGAACATGGCCTTTATCAGATGTATATCTCATCTCCTTGCAAAACCAACTTAAGGCAATGTCCACATGTTTAATTTCCCTCTGAGCTTTGCCAATTGTTCGGTTGAATGTCACTAGGCAGGGCAGGTGGTATCTACCGTCAGCAGTTATTAGATCAGCTTCACTAGCAAATCTTGTCCTCAGTCTTATTGCTCAACTTAAATGGTCTTTTTTGGCTATATCTTTTGGCAAAAGAGGCATAAATTCCAGTCAACAACCTGCCCCATGCTCGTACGGATTCATCTGTTCTGCCACTTAGAGACTCTCTACTTTTAGTGGAAGTTGATGGTGCTTGTGATAGCTTTTCCATATTTGCCTTTAACCTTTTAATTTTTCCACTGTGAACTGAACATAGTAGTTCCTATGCCATACAATTTGGGCAGATCCACAGAATCCAAAACCTTTTCGAGACGATCAAATGTTTCTATACGTTTGAGATCTGGGAATTTTCTTCTGCTGGTGGCTGCTTTTTGAACTCTTTCCAAACAATTTTCAGTTCCTGGACGAAGCTCCACATTATTTGAAACTTGATAAATGGATCATAGATTGGAAACCACTGTAGCTACGTGCGTCAGTCCTAAAATTCTTCCACCATCTTGTGTAGCTTTCAAAGTCCTACTGTAACTGAAATAGCAGAAATTTAAACTAAATATTAACTTTCAAAGTCAAACCGAATAGAAAATATACAGCATAGAAATTTACAGTCGTAACACACACACACACACACACACACACACAAAGCATGTTTTAAATATAAACGCATTTGTGATTGTGTGGGGAGGGAGTGGGCGGTGAGTGGTGTTCCCTCAATCTAGTTTTTGTTTACTGTATCTTCAGATAAGACAGAATGAGCCAGATCTTGCTCTTCAATGCGATCGCCAATGTAAAGCTGTGAATATATTGTTACATTTAGCCTATTTTAACGTCTTAATTTACTATTTTAGGCGTTTTAGCATGAGGTATTTGCTGGTAACAAGAAGACTCGGATTCAGCATCCTCGACTTAGCTTAAAAGAAGCTACGACAAAAAATACCTCGAAAACATTCTCTAGAGGTCTTGTATAAATATTTCACCTGTCTATTTTATGTCTTGCTCAACAGACAAACCCACGTACTCGAGAAATCAAGTTGACTCATTAATATGTACAGAGGACGCACGAACCGTCAACAGCATCTCATCCTTCTTGTCATATGGGAAATAGAGAAGCGTCTTGTCTTAGCCATATTTCACCAGGGAATTTGAGTTCTCTTCCCATTTGGAGTTGACGTGTAAGTAACCAGAGCTACAAGAAAGGGAGTTTTCGTAATACAGTACTGTACTAACGAGGGAGTGTCGTCCTTGGTCACCGTATCCAGTAGGGAACAACGTATTATGGAGATGTGGGTGTAGATAGGAGTGCGTGCGTGCGTGTAGGTATTAATTTCGTTATTTTGTCACTTACAGCGGCTAGTTTATTGTGCAGCCCATACTCATCCTGTGAGCGGTAGCGCAAAACGATTACAGAGTAAAGGTTACAAAGGGTGTGTATAACAAACCCCAATGGTCAGGATATTAAGGCATTAAAGGTTGCAGAGTAATTCAAATACACTTTGTTTATTTTTGTATTATACATAGACGGTAACTTATTCGCAACTGCATGAGTACATCAGTATGAGACAATGTGCCTGGCCACACACACATTGTTATTCATATTTGCGTGAGAGGCATTCAAGCTCATTGTGTGTTTGGTTCTATGCATGGTAAATGATACAGCTACTGAATGTAAAAATGTGGATACAATGTTAATATCAGCTATCTTGCCATTAGAAATAAAGTGTTGTGCCATTTCACACACATTGTGTTTAGAGCTGCCCCTAAAAGGTTCTATTTTCACACAGTCAAGGACGTATAGAATTCGAATGTGTGGCCATACGTTTGACCACACATTTTACATTTAGTTTTGTTCACATCTATTTGAGGCATATACTGCCAGAAGTACTTCTATCCTAATCTTAGTCTAGCGGTTACAACATATTTGTATTTGCTCCATAAACATGTTTCACTTGATACATCTTATAGTAAACAATGGAATAACTAGTACCTTTTTTTTAATTGGATTAGCCAACCAGGGCACATGTCAATGATCCTGTGGATGAAAATATTATAATAATAATAATAATAATAATAATAATAATAATAATAATAATAATAATAATAATAATAATGATGATGATGATGATGATGATGATGATGATGATGATGATGATGATGATGATAAAAATAATAAAAATAAAAATAATAAATAATAAATAATAAATAATAATAATAATAAAGGACCATAAATAAATAAATAAATAGAAGATCAATAGTGAGAAACGGAATATGTATGTTGTATTTTCAAAGTAAGAGAAAAAATTTAGACCCTGACTTTCTTCCTCCTTTACACATGTAAATGAGGCAGAAAGTCAGTTCAGAAACCTAGGACTTGGTCAAAATTTTTATGATGCCATATGACAGCAGGGTCTACCATTAGACAATAAATTATGCTTCCAATATATTCCCTGGCGGTAGTACCTCCCTGTTTGATAGCTGTCACTAACCGGCGCGAACTTTGCAATCTAAAGAACGAATGGTTGAAAAATAAAGCACGTGACGCGCAAAAACTTGCAAATCAACACGAGATGACCGATATATTTATTTCAATAAAACATTTTATGGCCCAATTACCCATGGCTCGGACCCCCTCCTCTCATCGGATGGTAACTCCCTAATTAAAGACGAAGAAGGCATCCTTCAGTGCTCAAGAGAGCACTGCCATTCGCTGTTCAACCAAAGCACTGCTGTGGATGTCCTGACCACCCAGCAGATCCCTCCACACCCAGAGCTGACCCACCTCAGCCATCCTCCATCCCTGGATCAGATTGCTACTACCATCATACACATGAAAAATAACAAAGCCTCAGGGCCTGATGGAATCCTAACCGAGATATATAAAGCAGGAGGACCTCTGCTTACCAACCGTCTTCACTCTCTCCTGGAGAATATATGAGAGAAGAGGGAAATTCCCTATGCTCTTAAAGACGCCTCCACCCACTTTTTATATAAGAACAAAGGGAGATCTGTCAGACTGCAGCAACTACCGCGGGATCTCGCTGCTGTCCGTAGCTGGCTAGATTATCGCCCAAGTCCTCCTAAACAGACATCTCCCTGAGGCGGAAAACTTTCACCCAGAATCTCAATGTGGCTTTAGATCATTACTAGACACCACTGACATGATCTTTACTTCCCGCCAGAAACAGGAAATGTACAGAGAATAGCGTCGTGACTTGTACATGGCCTTTATTAAACTTACCATCGCCTTCGACTCGGTCAACAGGGAGGCCCTTTGGGGAACTCTCAGCCGTTTATGTTCCCCACTAAAATTCATCGCCATTGTGCAGTGTCCTGAATAATGGCACTCAAATGGGGGTTAAACAAGGGTGTGTGCTGGCACCAAGTCTCTTTTCCATTTTCTTGGCTGCCTTCCTTGCCCATGCCAGTGCCAATTTAGCCAGCGGGGTGGACATCCAGTATCGGATGAAGGGACTTTTCAACATAAGACGACTCCAGGCAGGAAAAAAGGTGTTGGTCGCTTCCATTACTAAACTTTAGTATGCAGATGACCTCACCCTCGTCACTCACACTGAACGCGACTTACAGGAGATCCTGAACACCTACATAGATGCATATGTACACTTCGGCCTTGAGGTGAATAAACGTATGACTCAGATTCTTTTTCAGCCTGCCCCTGGTTCAGCCACACTTCCACCGTCTATCTAGGTTAACTGCACTACCATTGCCAATGTTATCCATTTTCAGTTCCTTGGTTTCCATCTGTCCACCATTGCGCACACTGGTGAAGAAGTTCAACATCGGATAAGATGTGAATCCCAAGCCTTTGGCAGACTCCGTACCCATATCTTCAGTTGCAGGGAGCTAAAGTTAACTACAAAGTTACATGTATATCAACACAGTGGTCCTCCCACCCTGCTGTATGGCAGAGAGACATGGGTCACATACAGGAGGCACCTCAAGGCACTTCAAATATTTCACATGTACAGTCTATTCTATTCTCCGAGTTCGCTGGGAAGACAAGAGAACAAATGCCGGTATTCTCACTGACACCAAATGTAGGAGCATCGAGGTTACCATTATCCATGAACAATTACGTTGGACTGGCCATATTACCCACATGGACGACTGTAGACTGCCAAGGCAGCTACTTTACAGTCACCTAACGAATGGTAAATGTAACGCTGGCTGACAACGGAAAAGGTATAAGGATAGTCTGAAGATAAACCTGGTGTCTATAATTTCGAATTAGCTCAACTAAATACCGAGGCAGACAAGCGCCAGCGCCGGAAAGACGCTCCCGCCGCCCCTTCCGCACTAGTTGTAGCCCGCCACACGTACAGCTTCTGTGGACGACCCTGCCGGTCCGGTATCGGCCTCTCGAGTCACCTCAGAACTCAGCAACGAAGGTGACATTCTTAATACCTCATATCATTGTATCATAGCTGAATAATCATCATTCTCGATTGCGAGTGACAGCAAAGTACTAGATTAGTAGGAGTAGTAGTAGTAGTACAGCAAGCGATCTCTGCACTGCCATTGCTGCCTTTGCAAGAAAGCTTGCATCCTCTTGCTGCCATCACCTCCAGGCCCTGACGGCCTGCCGCCTTATTCCTCTGGAAAAGAAACCAGGATGTAGGCCTATGGGGGTGGGGGAAGTGCTGAGGCGGATCATCGGAAAATGCATAATGGAGGTGGTAAAGGATGATGTCAGGGCAGCAGCAGGGAACCTGCAAGTGTGTGCTGACCACCACGCTGGTGGGGAGGCCGCCATCCACGCCATGAGATTGATATTTGAGCAGCGTGATTGTGAGGCCGTTCTCCTGGTGGATGCTTCAAATGCATTCAACATACTTAACCGCAAGGCTGCACTGCACAACATCAAGATCAAGTGTCCAAGCTTTGCAATGTATGTTGAAAATTCGTATAGGAATCCATCAGACCTCTATATAGTAAACAACAAGGCTCTAAGAGGTGATACCATCTTACAGTCAACCGAGGGAACAACACAGGGAGACCCTGTTCCAATGGCAATGTATGCAATTGGCCTATCAGTGCTCCAAAAAGAAATAAATTTGAAACAACTGGGGTCAAACAAGTGGCATATGCTGATGACCTTACAGGAGCAGGAAAAGTGGAGGGCATCAAAAAGTGGTGGGACTTGGTAACATCGCGAGGTCCACAAATAGGGTACCACCCAAACGCCACCAAGTCCTTCCTCATCGTGAAGCCAGAACATTATGAACGGGCAATGGAGGTTTTTGGCGGAAGTGAGGTCAAAATAACTAAGGACGGCCAAAGACATCTAGGCGCAGTAATTGGCACCGCGGACTTCAAAACCGAATACGTAGCGGGAAAGGTGAATGAGTGGGTATGTAAAATCCAAGCTCTGTCTGAGATTGCTAACACAGAGCCACATGCAGCCTTTGCTGCATTCACCCATGGAGACAAGCATCGATGGAACTACCTGATGCGTACTATCCCTGATATCGGACCCCTCCTCCACCCTCTGGAAGAAGTTATCAGTGTCAATTTCATTCCTAAATTAGTGAAACACCCTGACTTAACCTAGCAGAAAGAGCACTTCTTGCACTTCCATCAAGACTGGGAGGGATGGGACTAACAAATCCAGAGGAGATTGCTGCCACTGAACATCAAAATTCACTTAACCTCACGGCAGCCCTCACGGACCACATAATAGCCCAGAATGCAACAGGGGAAGTGGACACCAGTGAAGTAAATAAGATTCGTAGGTCCATTACGACAGATCGACAGCACTGCCAAAATGATAAGTTACAGCAGCTGTTGCTGCAGGTACCAGAAAATTTGAAAAAAAAAGTTGCTATAGCGCAGGAGGTGGGTGCCTGGAACTGGTTAACTACGTTACCGATAAGGGCAAATGGTTTCAGTCTTAATAAACAAGAATTTACAGATGCCATTGCTCTAAGGTACGGTCGGCCAGTAGAAGGTTTGCCCTCCCAATGCGTGTGTGGCTCTTCCAATGATGGCGATCACGCCATGGTGTGCAAGAAAGGGAGCTTCATATGCATGAGGCATGACGAGGTAAGGGACCTCAGCATATATGTTGAAGGAAATCTGCCGGGATGTCATGGTATAACCGACCCTCCTTCCATTGGATGGTGAGATCTTCCAACACAGGACTTCAAACACATCTAGCGAAGCCCGTGTGGACGTCAGTGCTCGAGGATTCTGGACGCGGGGACAGCGAGCTTTCTTCAACATCAGGATTTTTTATCCCATGGCCGCATGTCACCGTAACCTAGCTCTCGATGCAGCACATAGGAGGAACGAGAACGACAAGAGAAGGGCATATGGGGAGAGAATTCAAAACGTTGATCAAGGCAACTTCACTCCTCTAGTGTTCACAACCTCTGGTGGGATGGGACCAAGTGCAAGATGTTTCTGTGCCAGACTCGCAGAGGTCATCTCCAAGCAGAAGCAGCAGCCTAGAAGTTATGTTACAGTCTGGATGAGATGTCGACTGTCTTTCTCTCTCCTTCGGTCGGCTTTGCTCTGCCTCAGGGGAACGAGAGCTTCTGCTCCAACGCCGGCAACTGTTGCAGATATCGACTATGAGACTACTGTCACTGAATGCCGCATAGATCTGCGGCTCAACTAATTTAACACAGATAGGATAGCTACTTATGTATTAGGATATTTAATATTAAGGGAATTAAATGGTGGCGAAGGTGTGGCATAAATTGTAAATATTCCGTGTGTTCACCGGCGATCACCAAGCGAGTGTTCACCTGGCGGCGCTGGGTAAGATGGAATAATGTGAGGCTCGGAGCCAAAGTCAGTGTCGATAGGCCTACTTTGACAGGGGTTGTCTCGAGACTTTCGCCCCTATGGGGCCGAGAGTGCTCCCATGCGGTCGCCTTCCCACCATAGTAACGGACACTTCATGTAGGGTCGCGACGAACCAAGTGAGTATATATAACTGATATTACACCAGTGAGACCATATAAATTGTGGTTATTTGTGCCAAGTATATATATAAACAAGTGCCTGGTGTGACAAATTCTTGTCCATAGTGTATCATTCTGACGTATGGATGCTCGCCCTTTGGGGGGTGGGGGTAGCCTACACACCCACGCGCACACGTATGCCCCTACTACCTGGACACAGCAGTCCAGCCTGTCACCTCTCCGCCCTTCCCTCATAAGAACCAGTATTATCTTGTGCCTGGGACTAAATCAGATGCTCGGAGGCGGACTTAACTGTCGCGCAAGGTGCTGTTCACTATGCCTGGTAACAATCATTGCTGCGTCTGTGCTAACCCGAACCAAAACTGCACAAATTGTGTTTGTGCGAGAAACAACCGACCATGTGTGGATTGCAAGAAGCGAGACCAGTGTCGGAACCCACGTCGCAGGGGGCCGACACAGGTGGCCACAGTGGATATCGCCGGGACCCAACCACCCGATGATATCCGAAATGATAGCAGTGAGTCTACTCAACCCGAAAATGTAGTACTAATAAATGCTGCTCCCTTAGTAGCAGATGTCCACGAGGAGAATGAGAGACAGCCACCTCAGTGGAATGGCATGTCGATGGAAAATGCAGACATATGGGTCAAAGAAACCTATTCAGAAATTGTCAAGTGGTCGCCCGCTTACTTATTTGAACCACCCAAGTGTGCGGCCACCAAAGAAATGATTCGGGAGATGACTCGCCTCATGACTGATTATACTCAGGACCGCTTCCTCGCCCCTTTAGCTCTTCAAATACTGGCAATAATATCACATCTATTTTGTCAGAGGACACACACAAAGACTAAGCACAAAGAAAATGTGGCAGCAATGAAGAGAAGATTGGCAATGTGGCAGACTTGGGCCCTTGGTGATCTCCTATGTGAAGCAAGAACACTGCAGGAGAGACTAAAAATTACGGGTGACGGAAAGCAAAACACCGATGACGTGGCAAGAAAATTTTGAAATACAATGCGCGTGGGAAAAGTGTCTCTGGCGGTAAGATCTCTCACAGAGGAATCCTCTGGTGGGGTGATGCCAATAAACAGAGAGACATTAAAACTACTGAAAGAGAAACATCCCCCTGCAAGTGACGAAGAAGGCATCAGGTTCGAGGGTGTCTATACCCCACCAAACGCTGTCCTGTTCGAGAAAATAATAGGAGAGATGGTGTGGAAAAAGGCACTGAAGACTCGAGGAGGAGCTGGCCCTTCAGGTCTGGATGCAAACGGTTGGAGAGTCATCCTCAGCACAAACAAGTTTGGCCCTGTAGCAAGTGATCTCTGCACTGCCATTGCCGCCCTTGCAAGAAAGCTTGCATCCTCCTGCTGCCATCACCTCCAGGCCCTGACGGCCTGCCGCCTTATTCCTCTGGAAAAGAAACCAGTATGTAGACCTATAGGGGTGGGGGAAGTGCTGAGGCGGATCATCGGAAAGTGCATAATGGAGGTGGTAAAGGATGATGTCAGGGCAGCAGCAGGGAACCTACAAGTGTGTGCTGGCCACCAGGCTGGCGGAGAGGCCGCCATTCACGCCATGAGATTGATATTTGAGCAGCGTGATTGTGAGGCCGTTCTCCTGGTGGATGCTTCAAATGCATTCAACATACTTAACCGCAAGGCTGCACTGCACAACATCAAGATCAAATGTCCAAGCTTTACAATGTATGTTGAAAATTCGTATAGAAATCCATCAGACCACTATATAGTAAACAACAAGGCTCTAAGAGGTGATACCATCTTACAGTCAACCGAGGGAACAACACAGGGGGACCCTGTTGCAATGGCAATGTATGCAATTGGCCTATCAGTGCTCCAACGAAAAATAGAATTTGAAACAACTGGGGTCAAACAAGT